CTAGGATCCAAAGCATCTGTAAAAGATATCATGGAAAAGATGGAAAGTATATTTGGCACAGTAGATCACGGAGAACAACTTTTGGCTAAATTTCACAGTGCACGTCAAGAGGAGGGCGAAGATGTTTCCGCTTGGGGATGTAGGCTCGAAGATATGTTGAGTAAGGTAGTACATAAGAAAGGAATAACACCGCAAGAATCAGAAGAAAAACTTCGCACCCGTTTCTGGTATGGGCTTCGCAAGGAACTTAAAGACATTAGTGGATATAAGTTTGATAATATAACCGATTTTGATCAGCTTAGAGTAGTGATGAGGGAAATAGAGCAAGACCAGCTACCGAACAATAAAAAGACCGCACACATTAAGATGGCACAATCTGAAGGCGAATATACAGAGCTAAAGTCTATGATGCAACAAATGAATAAAGATATTGGTGAGTTGAAGAGACACACCCAAGAACAATCACAACGACAAGATGAAACTCGTACCGAAGGCCAATATCAGCAAAGTACACATAACAACTGGAATACACAGTACCGAGGTCGGGGACACCGTGGACGTGGACAAGGAAATAGAAACTACAGACCGTACTGGGACAATACACAAAACACACCATTACAAGCGGCAGAAACCCAACAACAAACACGACGTAGAAACACCGACCCCATTATTTGCTATAAATGTGGACAAGAAGGACACTTTGCGTATGGATGCGCAGTTAGGACCGATCATTTACGTTCTTTAAACGACAACAGGTCTATGTCAAGGGACGGACATTAGGCTCGGAACAACAATGTCCCAAAAGGCAACAGAATATTGAATTGGTAGGATCCTCAAACGAAACAACAATTTTTATTAACGGCATTGAATCACAAGCACTTTTGGATACCGGCTCAACAGTCTCGACGATCTCTGAATCATTTTACCGTTTAAATCTACAGACAGTTCCACTGGAACCATTGACAAGCTTTCTACATATAGAGTGCGCCGATGGACAATCACTTCCGTACTTAGGATTTATTGAAGCAACCATTAAAATTAAAGATGTCAACGGAAACCAATATCAAGGACTATTTCTTGTCGTTCCTGATAGTACATACAACTATAAAGTACCCGTTTTAATTGGAACCAACGTTTTGTCAATTGTATTAGAGGATATCCGTCATACTCACGGAGATAGATTTCTGCAGACAGCTAATCTTCATACTGAATGGTATATGACATTTAGGACAATGACACTTCGAGAGAGAGAACTTCAGAAGAATGGCAATCGTTTATGCATCGTTAAATCAGCAGAGCATACAACTGTTATGATACAACCTAACGGGTCAGTCGTATTACAGGGGTACATGGACAAGCAGATACCGTACAAACCGACTTGTGCTCTATTGCAACACACGAAGGGGTCTGATTTACCTGCAGATTTAGATATCACACCAGGCTTAGTCAATTACAGACATGAATATAGAGATACCATACCAGTACACATAACTAATGTTACGACCAGAACTGTTAATATACAACCCAGGGCAATCGTATGCGAACTGCAACCAGTAACCATAGCTGACGTTAAACCGGAAGTGGATGTAATTGATATCAGTGCAGACCTTTATGACAAATTAGAAATGCCAACTGAGTTATCAGAAGTTGAACTGAATAAAGTCAAACAACTTATTACTGCATACGAAGATATTTTTTCAAAGGGCGATACCGATATAGGCTACACATCGATAGTACGACATCGCATTGATTTAGTCGACGATACATCTTTTAAACAGCGTCACCGCCGCATACCACCATCTATGTTCGATGAAGTGAAAGACCATCTACAACAGTTACTTGCAGCTGGAGTTATTCGAAAGTTCCACTCTCCATTTTCATCAAACGTTGTTCTAGTCCGGAAGAAAGAAGGCTCACTGCGCATGTGCGTGGACTATCGTACTTTAAATGAAAAGACAATTAAAGACGCATACGCACTTCCGAGAATAGAGGAAATCTTAGACGCACTGGGCGGAAATAAGTATTATACATGTTTAGATATGAAGTCAGGATATCACCAAATCGAGATTGAGGAATCACACAAAGAGAGGACTGCATTTACCGTTGGCCCATTGGGGTTTTATGAATACATCAGAATGCCTTTTGGACTAGCTAATAGTCCTGCAACATACCAGCGCTTAATGGAAGAAATATTAGGAGATTTGCATCTGAAAATATGTTTCATATATCTGGATGATCTTATTATCTTTGCAAAGTCGTATGAGGAACATTTAGAAAGATTAGAACTTATTTTTCAAAGACTACGGGAATCAGGATTGAAATTGTCTCCGAAGAAATGTCAACTTTTCCGAACCAGAGTCAAATACGTCGGACACATTGTTTCTGAAGACGGTATAGAACCCGATCCTGACAAGATTGAAAAGATAGAAAATTGGCCACGCCCCACAACACCGGAAGACGTTCGCAAATTCCTTGGTTTTGCCGGGTACTATCGCAAATTCATACAGGATTTTTCCAAGATTGCAAGACCGTTAACGGACATTATGCCAGCACCACAAATGTCAAAAAGGAAAACTAAGCGTCAAGGAGCACCACCATCATGGCACTGGGGTGACAAAGAGGAACATGCTTTCCAAGAATTGAAACAACGACTATCTACACCGCCAGTTCTAGGATATCCTGATTATTCAAAACCGTTTGAAATACATACCGACGCGTGTGGCACAGGACTAGGAGCCATACTTTACCAAGAACAGAATGGAAAGAAACACGTTATATCATATGCCAGCAGAGGACTATCAAAATCTGAACGAAATTATCCAGCACACAAACTTGAATTTTTGGCACTCAAATGGGCAGTTACTGAAAAGTTTAAGGATTACTTGTATGGAAGCTGTTTTACAGTCGTCACCGATAATAACCCACTAACTTATGTACTATCAACAGCAAAACTAGACGCTACAGGGCATAGATGGGTTGCAGCTCTAGCTACATTTGATTTCGACATAATTTACAGAAGTGGTAAACAAAACACTGATGCAGACGCACTTTCACGACTACCAGAATCAACACAACAAAAAATGTCAATAAAAAGCGAATCAATTAAAGCCATTTGCGATGCTATTCAACCTGTACCATACATCAACTGCTTATCTGGAACACCTGAGAAAGAACCAGAAGCCACAGAACTGAACTCTTACTGTAATATTGACATACGAAAAGTCCAATGCGGCAGAACTTAAATGTACTCACTGTACTAACCAATAGTACATGAAAACGTCATACCTGCACTGCAGTACTAACTGTATGGGGTTCAATACAGGATAATCATATGCTTCAATGGTCAATTATTCATTACACCATAGCAGGGACTAAATTTGGAAAACGGAAAGCTATAGCGTAATGAGTTCAGAAAATGTCTTCAAAATATTTTAACAACTTTAGATCAAATTAAATATTTTTATAGTTTATTGAAATAATTCGCTGAAATGGAAAATTGGTTAAGTTATAAAATATACAAAGTAAAATATAAAAAGAATACTATAAATCGCTGCCATTTTGAAGAATTACGTATATGTGGCAGCGATTTATAGTATTCTTTTTATATTTTACTTTGTATATTTTATAACTTAACCAATTTTCCATTTCAGCGAATTATTTCAATAAACTATAAAAATATTTAATTTGATCTAAAGTTGTTAAAATATTTTGAAGACATTTTCTGAACTCATTACGCTATAGCTTTCCGTTTTCCAAATTTAGTCCCTGCTATGGTGTAATGAATAATTGACCATTGAAGCATATGATTATCCTGTATTGAACCCCATACAGTTAGTACTGCAGTGCAGGTATGACGTTTTCATGTACTATTGGTTAGTACAGTGAGTACAATTAAGTTCTGCCGCATTGGACTTTTCGATGGTATTCATTGGGTAATTTGTACATTATTTTCTATTGGCTCTGTCTTGCTATTTCACTTACGGTTTTCATTGTGAGGTTTATATTATTTGGAACTTTCTTTGAAGTTAGATGTTATTTGTACCTGACTATTATTCTGGACCTTTTTGGACATTTTTGACAAACATACCATATAGTGTCCTGGAATAATTGTATTAGTGTTTATGGCAGTGGATTTTGATAACTCAATCCCACATATTGAGTTACATTTTCCTGGTATATAATAAAGTATTTGAACCAGTTGGAGTCTATAATTAAAAGCCCTTATAAGACCCTATCACATATATTCAACGAACTTTTATATTGCTTAAACCCTTGCAACACAAGTATTTCTATTGCAAGCTTCATGTGTTAAAAACTGTTTGGACTTCTGTTTAACGGAAAAAGGTGTTGTAATTCATGACAGAAAATAGCTATACGCACTTAACAAAACTCAAAACAAAGGAACAGATTTTTATTGCAGTTCTCCATCTCTATAAGTCAGAGTGAGACAATCCAAGATGTTATTTCAATTAGATCAAACGCGATCTACAAATGTAATAACGGGTCAGTGACGTTTCTACAAGTAAAAACATTAAACAACGAAAGCACATTTATAGCAAATACCGAATATAAGCTTCTTTATTGTCTCTCAAATATTTATACACAAAAACTGAACTAGAGATGAAATTTCTTTTTTATTTATATTTCTTTTCCTGTCCCTCAAGTGTGACAGAGTACAAGTTGAGCATTTACTCATAAAAACTTAATGATAGTAATTTATAAAAACATAAAAACATATGTAATCATTAAAATGATAGGAATGCGTATAAATATGTTATCTTTTTTTAGACATGAACTTTTCTTTTTATTTATGCGTGTTACACAGAGACAGTACAAGTGTATCATTAAGAAATGATAGTTTATGAAAATATAAAAAATGTAAACATTCATATGATTTAAAAGAACCCATGCAAACATGTTAATTGTTTTTCATAATATCAACTCATAAATATGTATACCATAACTTACTTGTAAACAATTTAAAATATAAACATACAATGTATTAGATGCTATATGTACAATAGTTTCACAAAGTATTGAATGGTACGACTATGATTTGTTGTTGGTAACTGAGGGAAAAGAGTACATCGACGAAGACAATTATACAAAACGTATTCAATGATTACATTCACAGTCTAAAGAAAATATAAAGACTAGTGTACAATGGCGCTATTATGATTGAACATTAATCCAAGTCAAAGGTTGGCGGTTCTCTTTGGGCACAATCTAAATATAATTGAACATTAATCCAATGATTAAATCAAAGCGCGCGTTACATTAAACAATTACTGGTCCTTCGCCTATATACTTTTGTCTTCTACCACATGACAAGAAGTATTTGAAATTTGACCGGAACCTGTTACAGTTATAAGCATATAAAAATGGATTTATTGCCGATTTAAACCATAACAACCACGTACATGTTTCAAAAAGCGGTACACTTACACATGTTCTACAAAATGAATATATGACTATAGCAACAGCATAAGGAAGCCATGCACATACATACACAACTGTCAATATTGCGAGGGATTTAGCAGCCTTTTTACCATTACGTGTGTGGAATATTTCTTTGGAACGTAGGCTGTTCCTTCGATGCAAATGATGAACAAAATTAACACTACCTGCGTAAACATCATTGATTGACGCAGATCTAGACAAAGTCGAGTCTCGGCTGTTTGAAAGAGAAGATAAATTACTTAGCTGTGCTCTTCTTGAAAGTAATTTTCGTATTTCCCAAAATATTATTGTATTTAATATAGTCAATATTACAAACGGAATTGGAAATGCTACTATTGCAACAGCTACCGTATATGCATAATTATTTCGATACTGTACTTCACAGTCATCTAAAGGTACAGAATTCTCTCCTGTCCAAATGTCCCAAAACAGAGTCGCAGGACCATTTAAAACTAATGCAATAATCCAAGCGGCACCACTTCGTATGTAAGCATTCCTCCTGGTCTGATCTTTATAATTCCTTGACCAGTGTTTAAGGAGAATATAACGGTCAAAGCTTATTAGAATCATAACTTCTAATGATACAGACGTGAATATTAAATCCAGTAACAAATACGCCTTGCAGAACTGATATCCGAATATCCAAACGCTATCATTTAGAGTATACGCTAGGTATATCGGCATGCTAATAGTCCCGATCAGGAAATCTGCAATAGCGAGATTCAGAATGTAAATGTTGATTGATTCATGTAATTTTTTGTCTCGTATAAACGAGATTATCGTAAGTATATTTCCTATTAATGTAATCACTATAACAGGAACTATCACTATACCGGCTATTACTAGAAGTTCCCGCGATGCTGTGTATCTATTCTCCAATGCTGCATTACTAGTATTGTATGTAGTAATGTTGGCATACATCGTCTTTTCCAGAGAAAAAGTAGTTACACGTTGTTTACTAGAGTAATCCGTGATGTGTACCATTGTGAATAATAATCCGGAAGAGTTTTCACTCATCCCTTTTCTCTGAAAAAGAAGATTGAAACAAATTACTCATGTATACACGCAAGTGATAGTTTGAGAATTGTTCTAGGATGTTGATGATGGATGTTCCCTTTTAAATTTGCATCGCCTACAAAAGACATCTGTTAACTGCATGTTGTGTATTCCCTCAAAAAGAAGTCGAGATTTAATTACCTTTGACCCTTTAAAGTGTTTTAAATTTTGACATTTATTCAATAATACGACGATGTAACATCGACTTTTATTTACATTTCTCGTTGTAAATATCCAAATTTATCATTTTATCCACATATTGTTTTTCAAATCCTTTCAAGCAGTGTCGTGATAAGATTTAATTATCCATGGTTTTAAAAAAAAGACATGAATTATTGTCATTTGTTCTTGTCTTTTAAGGTAAATAATGTGAATTAATCAAACTTTAGAGAAGATAAATACCGTCGAAGTCTCTATACACTGGTATTTAATCTGTAGAACGTTATGACATAAAAAGATCGCGCTATTAATTATGTTTCTTGTCTGTTTTTAAAACGAGTTCCTTCATAGCAAGGATGTAGTTGTATCATTCAGTATGGAACACATACGAAACTGTTCAATATCTGTACCGTCAAAGACTTTAGTAGCGCTAAAAAATATCTTTCAAGGTCAGACGTCGGGACTGTCATCATGCAGTCATGCGTGGACGGGTACACTGTAAACCTGGGTTAAAGAAGATTCGCGTGAATAAGATTTAAAATATATTTTTATCTGTGTATCTTCGAAGCTTATTATGTTTCTGTAAATAATTGACACAAACGTACGAGTTATTTGAAGAGTCGTGTCATTGAATTTCAACTTGAGCGAGATCTAGTGTTGATAGGGTAAACGTGTTTAATCTGCTCTGCATGCATAACCTGCCGTGCGAATCTAATTGCTTCCTAGTTTGTATTTTTTTCATTTTAAAAAATGTTGTTTTTGTTTTTTATTTTTTCTTGGTTAACCATCCCGAGCTTGCAATAACTGATGCCAAGTCATTTTAAAATAACTGCTATTTCATAATTCTGCTTTGAAACATGTCAAGTACATGTTAGTAAAAGAATAACAAGAATAACAGCTTATCTTACCTGACCTCTTTATGTTATCCATTAGAAAGTATATTTATGCGGAAACATTGTATTACATTTCAACGTTTTAAAAATTTCTTCAGATAAAAATGAAGTCTTTTCTCTTGTGCATGATGATGACACGTAATATTGTCAAGAAAGGTAAAGATGGATACATAATATGTGTATGTTAATATCCTTGAACAGCAATACAGTTACTCTACTTACATTGTACTTATAAAAAAAAATATGTAACAATATTAAGAGGCTCCAGATTTATATAACAGAGGAGTACAAAGATAGGCTTTGTCTGAGATACAGTAGTCTTATAAGCTTATTAAATAAACAGAATTTGGTAAAATTGATTTACAATATTTTTAATACTTTTTAATCTCTAAATGTTATCAATGAATGGAGATGTTTGATATGAATTGTAAACATTTATATGCTACACCAGTTAACTTCTTACAATAATACCTTCTTAACATGTATATTAATTGTTTTAATTGTTCTCATTTATCTTTTTATGTGTAATTGCACACACATCCCTTTCTCTAAGTCAGGTCTTAAAGTACGTAAATGCAAATATATGAAATTCATTTATTAGTCACCAACCCTTTCCTTCTGTGCCAAAAAAAATATGTATACTATAAAGCTAATAGAAATACCCGTTTTAGACTCAATTGCATAAAATGTATACTCGTTCGTCAATCAATTTTATATTTGGAAGCATAGGAAGATGCAGTAAAAATTATATAGAATCATATAGTATAAAAATTTATAAAAAAACAGCTTTTCGAGTTCGCCGCCTCCCCCCCCCCCAAAAAAAAAAACAAAAAAAAAACCGATGCACATATCTCATGGTTTCAAAGGCAATAACTCAAAAACATTTGTGGTTCTTGTAATGTTTTTCCAAACATATCCTAAAAAAAGTAAGCATGCGATCACAAATAATATTGTTTTCCCATATAATATATATATATATATATATATTTCCATGGGGCAACACTTTTTTAAAAGTTTTAGGTTGGTACTGATTATCGAACTCATAGAAGGACTTGCAAATGTTAACCTCTGGTATAGATTTAATATAAATACGACAAGATTTTAAGTTGTTTTGAGAGTGCTTACAATGCATGCAATGTTCAACATGAATTACATTTCAAAGAGACATAATTCCTGCGTGACTACAATGTAACACTGATGTTACTCGTCAAGACATTATTAACATAAACCTTTGAATATGAAATCTTGAGAGCTAACAATAAATAAAATTTTCCAAGGGACATAACTATATTAAAATATTTGATCAGTACTGATTTTAGATGTTGTTCCAAACAATTCTGATATAAATCTTTAATATCAATATCATAACCATTTGACATGAAATGTAAGCTTGAGAGCATTTCAATGTCATATTTGACACAATTAACATTTCCAAGTGACATAACTTCTGTAAAAATAATTGATCAGTGTTGCCTTACAAACTTGTTTCAGACATAGCCAAATAAACCTTAAATATAAACAATACTACAAGACTACCCATTTTCAAAGGGTATACATAACTCCTTTGAAACATGTACTGATTTGCGATCTTGTCCGAGACATTGTTGATACAAACCTCATTGCACAGAGAAAAAATCAAATACCCCATACTAATGTATTTTCTACGTATACAGAAAGCTGCATATTCCTTCAGTAAGAAAGTTCGTGTTGTTTGAAAGCGCAATGTCTTTACTTAAAAAAAAATATACTATGATAATATACTTATGATATTAATAATTTATAATCGATGCCGGTTTAAACAATAATGAACCCTGGCCAGCTATAAAGAAAACCGTCAAAAATCAAACCTAGGGCCACCTTTTAAAATTTTTTGTTTGATGTTGCATACCCATGCATTGTAGGATTGGGTAGGTAGATAGTTTTTTTTTTTTTTTTTTTTTTGCTAACAACACAAGTTACGTGTTGTAGACAAACAAACAAACAAAAAACGACGTCAGAGCAGGAAAAACTCTTTAAAAAAATTTGAACACGATATGTACAAAAATCCGAGGAGGGCTGCTTTTTAGGTGTGTCGTTAGGCAACATCAAACAATCTAAATTTATTTTTTGGCCTAGCAGAGTTAAAAGTTTAAAACTAACTGAAGTTAGAAGAAGTGCAGAAGTATTCCCCATTCCCATAGCTCGACATAATTGGCCCAATAATCATACCAAATCTTCTTATTTTAAATTTATAGTAATACATGTACCGTCTACGTCGACAGAAAAAGGTTCTACAGCTACCGTCAGGCCACCCATATATCATGTACAATTTTTCTCGTGCTTATATATATTAAATATTTACCACTGGACGTTAAACAGACAGGATGATCCATCATCACCATTACACAAAAGATAAACATACTTAGTAGGAACTGAAGGGTAGAAGCAATATAACGAAAAAATTCATGAAATGTCATTCAAATTATTAAATGAAAATTAAGTCAATCATACGTACGATAGTGGACATTTGGATAAATGACAGTGTTAGTACTTATATACTGCACGTTTGTCCTTAATGTAAACAGAATAGTAAAAACATAAAATATGGTTCGTTTGTACCTTCAATTGCAAAAAGGAAATCACTCCAGTCCAAAATCATCCCTATAATTTAAATTTCACACAAAGTTAAAAGCTGATGATAAAAGGAAGTACATTCAGTGCACATATACGTGAACTCGTGCTGACCCCGCAAGATAATTAACCAATTAGAAAGATGTAATCCAATCATGCACTGGTTAGTTAACTTTCTCTATACGTGAAAACAGATTAACTTATTTGTTCCTTTACTTTTTTTTTGTTTTTTGTTTTTTGTTTTTTGTTTTTTTTGTTTTTTGTTTTTTGGCTGTTCATGTACTGATTTTGTGTCATGGATAGATACCCCATATCCTTTGTTTTTCTAATAACTTATTTCAACGATATATCTTTTAATTAAGTTTGACAAATATGACCTACTGACCAGTACTTAGACCTAAAAAATGAACGGTATAAATAGCTCCCTCTTTATATTAGCCTTAGCAATACACAATACAGAATTAATCTTCCTGCTGTCTTAAATGATTTCATTAAGATGTTCACTTATCAAATACAATTGGTTTTCTTGGCGACTCTTTTTCTTATGTTGGAAAATAAGACCATGTATTATAAAGTTGATACAAATACCAGCTATAGACTCTATTGTACAAAATGTACACTCGTTCGTTAAACAATTTTGCATTTGGAAGCAATGGATAATGCAGTAAAACTATATAAATTAAAGATGCGCGTTCCGTTTTACATATAATATCTGGTTCTATTGAAGAGGCAAAACTCCGGTAAAAAAGTGGATTGGTGCTGATAAAAATTTCAGAAAAATCCGACAAGAGTGTGAGAATGCTTATAATGTATGCAATGTTTAACATAAATTACGCTTCAAAAGACCATAACTCCTGTACTGTAAAAATAAATGATAAGCGCTGATATTCAAATATGTTTAAGACATAGCCGTTATAAATCTATGATAAAAATGTCTTAACAATCCTACAAGAAATCCTACACGGACGGACGGACACCCAGTATTTCAGTGTCCCCTGTAACCCGTTGCACGGTTTGACAAAACAAACGTCCTATTCTATAATGCAATTCCTTCTCTACAGAAAACTGCATATTACTTTATTAAGAAAGTTATTTTCAAGTTGATGGATAGCGAAAAGTCTTTACACAACAAAGTTGTACTATGATAATAATTTATAATCACGATGTAAGATATTAGAAACCCAGCTGTAAAGAAACACATAAAAACATAATTTTTGCTCCAAACAGAGTTATAGGTTTAACACTCCTTTTTTTTCTTGGTTAACCATCCCACAATAACTGATGCCAAGTCAATTTAAAATAACTGCTATTTCCTAATTCTGCTTTGAGGCAAGTACATGTTAGTAAAAGTATAACAGCTTATCTTACCTGACCTCTTTATGTTATCCATTAGAAAGTATATTTATGCGGAAACATTGTATTACATTTCAACGTTTTAAAAATTTCTTCAGATAAAAATGAAGTCTTTTCTCTTGTGCATGATGATGACACGTAATATTGTCAAGAAAGGTAAAGATGGATACATAATATGTGTATGTTAACATTCTTGAACAGCAATACAGTTACTCTACTTACATTGTACTTATAAAAAAAAAATATGTAACAAGATTAAGAGGCTCCAGATTTATATAACAGAAGAGTACAAAGATAGACTTTGTCTGAGATACAGTAGTCTTATAAGCTTATTAAATAAACAGAATTTGGTAAAATTGATTTACAATATTTTTAATACTTTTTAATCTCTAAATGTTATCAATGAATGGAGATGTTTGATATGAATTGTAAACATTTATATGCTACACCAGTTAACTTCTTACAATAATACCTTCTTAACATGTATATTAATTGTTTTAATTGTTCTCATTTATCTTTTTATGTGTAATTGCACACACATCCCTTTCTCTAAGTCAGGTCTTAAAGTACGTAAATGCAAATATATGAAATTCATTTATTAGTCACCAACCCTTTCCTTCTGTGCAAAAAAAAATATGTATACTATAAAGCTAATAGAAATACCCGTTTTAGACTCAATTGCATAAAATGATTACTCGTTCGTCAATCAATTTTATATTTGGAAGCATAGGAAGATGCAGTAAAAATTATATAGAATCATTTAGTATAATAATAAATAAAAAAGCGGAATTTCGTGTTCGCCGCCTCCCCCTCCACACCAGCCCCCCCCCCCCCCCCCAAAAAAAAAAAACAAACAAAAAAACGAAAAAAAAACCGATGCACATATCTCATGGTTCCAAAGGCAATAACTCAAAAACACTTTCTTGGGTTTCTTGTATTTTTTTTGCAAAAAATATCCTAAAAAAAGTAGGCATGTGATCGCAAACAATGAGGTCAATACGTTATATATGGACCTGTTCAGATTATATTGACCGAGGACGAAGTCCGAGTGTCAATATAATCTAACAGGTCCATATATAACGTATTGACTGAGTGAAAGTCCTAAATTTATATATTACATATGTAAATAATGTATTAGAAAAATGGACTTTAATGTTCTTTATGTGTTTAAAATTTTATTTTGTAAGATTTTTAACATGCTATTGAAAATATTAATAAATAAGATTAACTTGTTTTATTGTAAAAAAAAACACAACATCTTTTTTTCCTGCTTAGAAAAAATAAGAAAGATAAATGGAACTCATTTCAGTTTACTTGCAAATTTTCTTTTCCTACTCTGCGGCGCTTCCACCATGATTGTTATGTGTGACATCACATATTTTTAATATTGACCGTCAATATACGTATAAATAAAAACATAGCGTCAATATACTTAAAAATTGAAACAGGGCTTCAGATACATGAAATATTCTATGAAATACGTGATCGAAATATCCAATGAAAACAGGAGAATGCTACTCCATATGTAATATATATCTTAATATATATTTCCAAAGGGCAACACCTTTTTAAAAGTAGTAGGTTGGTACTGATTATCGAACTCATAGAAGGCCTTGCAGATATTAACCTCTGGTATAAATTTAATAAAAATCCGACAAGATTATAAGTTGTTTTGAGAGTGCTTACAATGCATGCAATGTTCAACATGAATTACATTTCAAAGAGACATAATTCCTGTAAAAATACGTGACTAACACTGATTTTCGAACTCGTCAAGACATAATTAACATAAACCTTTGAATATGAAATCTTGAGAGCTAACAATAAATAAAATTTTCTAAGGGACATAACTATATTAAAATATTTGATCAGTCCTGATTTTTGATGTTGTTCCAAACATTTCTGATATTAATCTTTAATATCAATGTCATAACCATTTGACATGAAATGTAAGCTTGAGAGCAATTCAATGTCATATTTGACACAATTAACATTTCCAAGTGACATAACTTCTGTAAAAATAATTGATCAGTGGTGCCTTACAAACCTGTCTCAGACATAGCCAAATAAACCTTAAATATAAACAATACTTAGTCTACTAGACTACCCATTTTCAAAGGGAATACATAACTCCTTTGAAACATGTACTGATTTGCGATCTTGTCCGAGACATTGTTGATATAAACCCCGTTGCACAGAGGAAAAATCAAATATCCCACACTAATGTATTTTCTACATCTACAGAAAGCTGCATATTCCTTCAGTAGAAAGTTCGTGTTGATTGAAAGCGCAACGTCTTTACTTTAAATAATGTACTATGATAATTACTAATGATATTAATAATTTATAATTAATGCCGGTTTAAACAATAATAAACCCTGGCCAGCTATAAAGACACCCGTCAAAATCAAACCTAGGGCCACCTTTTAAAAATTTTAGTTTGATGTTGCATACCCATGCATTGTAGGATTAGGTAGGTAGGAAGGGTTTTTTTGCCAACAACATAAGTTACGTGTTCTAGACAAAAAAACAAAAAACGATTCAGAGCAGGAAAAAATCTTTAAAAAAAATTTGAACACGATACATGTGCACGATACATGTGTACGATACATGTGTATGTGTCATAAAATTTTCCGAGGAGGGCTGCTTTTTAGGTGTATAGTTAGGCAACATCAAACAATCTAAATTTATTTTTTGGCCTAGCAGAGTTAAAAGTTTAAAACTAACCTATGCAGAATTATTCCCCATTCTTATAGCTCGAAACAATTGGCCCAGTAATCATACCATATCTTCTTATTTTAAATTTATAGCAATACCATGTACGTCGACAGAAAAAGGTTCTACAGCTACCATCAGGCCACCAATATATCATGTACAATTTTTCTCGTGATTATATTTAAGAAATATTTAACACTGGACGTTAAACAGACATCCATCATCACAATTACACAAAAGATAAACATACTAAGTAGGAACTGAAGGGTAGAAGCAATATAACGAAAAAAATCATGAAATGTCATCCAAATTATTAAATGAAAACTAAGTCAATCATACGATAGTGGACATTTTGATAAATGACAGTGTTAGTACGTATATACTACACGTGTGTCCTTAATGTAAACAGAATAAATAAAACACAAAATATGGTTCGCTTTTACCTTAAATTGCAAAAGGAAATCACTCCAGTCCAAAATCATCCATATAATTTAAATTTCACACAAAGTTAAACGATGATGATGAAAGGAAGTACATTCAGTGCACATATACGTGATCTCGTGCTGACCCCGCAAGATCATTAACCAATTAGAAAGATGTAATTCAATCATGCACTGATCATTAGTTAACTTTCTCTAAACGTGAAAACAGGTTAATTTATTTCAATAAAAGCTGTGTTCCTTTCCTCTTTTTTTTGTTTGTTTGTTTGTTGGTTTTTTTGTTGTTGCTGTGCATGTACTGATTTTGTGTCATGGATAGATACCCCATATCCTTTTCTAATAACTTATTTCAACAATATATCTTTTAATTAAGTTTGACAAATATGACCTACTGACCAGTACTTAGACATAAAAATGTACTGTATAAATAGCTCCCTCTTTATATTAGCCTTAGCAATACACAATACAAAATTCATCTTCCTGCTGTCTTAAATGTTTTAATTCAGATGTTCACTTATCAAATACAATTGGTTTTACTCTTTTTCGTATGTGGGAAAATAAGACCATGTATTATAAAGTTGATACAAATACCCGTTATCGTCCTGAATATGCATGAAATATTTGCCACTGGACGTTAAGCAACCAACAATCAATCAATCAATCAATCAAATACCCGGTATAGACTCTATTGTACAAAATGTACACTCGTTCGTTAAACAATTTTGCATTTGGAAGCAATGGATAATGCAGTAAAACTATATAAATTAAAGATGCGCGTTCCGTTTTACATATAATATCTGGTTCTTTTAAAGAGGCAAAACTCCGGTAAAATAGTGGATTGGTGCTGATAAAAATTTCAAAAAAATCCGACAAGAGTGTGAGAATGCTTATAATGTATGCAATGTTTAACATACATTACATTTCAAAAGACCATAACTCCTGTACTGTAAAAATAAATGATAAGCGCTGATTTTCAAATATGTTTCAGACATAGCCGTTATAAATCTTTGATAAAAATGTCTTAACAATCCTACAAGAAATGTAGGCTTGGGAGCGCTTTCAATATAATTTTCGTATTATTTATATTTCGAAAGGGCATAACTTCTTTAAAAAAAACATTATTGCAATAATTATAAAGCTCGCCCGAGACCTTGCTAACATAAACTTTTTATATTATAATTTGATAAAGTGTTGAAAGAACTGTACAAGTGAGAGCGCTTACAAGACCGGATGGGACGCACAGAGGGACGCATAAACAGACACAGGGACGGACGGACACCCAGTATTTCTGTGTCCCCTGTAACCCGTTACACGTTTTGACAAAACAAACATCCTATTCTATAATGTATTTTCCTTCTCTTCAGAAAACTGCATATTACTTCATTAAGAAAGTTATTTTCAAGTTGATGGATAGCGAAAAGTCTTTACACAACAAAGTTGTACTATGATAATAATTCATAATCTCGATGTAAGATATTAGAAATCCAGCTATAAAGAAACACATAAAAACATCATTTTTGCTCCAAACGGAGTTTTATCCTGCAATCAGCCAACTATTGTACAAATAACAGGTACACAAATAAATTTTTGCTTTATTTGTACTTGTACAAATAAAGTCTCCTGTTACCCCTCTTCCATGTTGAGCAAGCAGTAATGTAGATATTTCTTTTTGCGTACCAGTTCATTTTGGGGTCCTCTTCGCGGTCCGCGTTTAAACTATGTCGATTTCTTTGAAAAATTAGAGAGAATGATTTAGATTTTAACAATTTAAGTTTCAAGTGTTGGGTGTAAATTTCAGGATAAAAACAATATATGTACATTGTCGGAAAATATAAAATTTATTTGTACTCGCTGCGAAACAGGAGAAAAGCTCGGCGAGCCTCGCTTTTCGTCCTGTTTCTAAAGCTCATACAAATAAATTTTATATTTTCCGACAATGTACATATATTGTATATATAA